CCATATAGAATACTGCGTCGAGGCTTGCCCGCCCTGCCTTGTTCAGGACAAAATGGAGCGAGAGAGGGTTTTGAGAGTAGGCACCAAATTGGTCGAGGAGTTACGGGGGCAATCCTACTACGAGCGTCTAATTAACTTGCGTATGTATTCAGTGCACTACCGACGGCTTCGGGGAGACCTAATCCTTACTTACCGTATTTTAACAGGGAACGTTGGACCGGACTTGAGCTGGCTATTTAGCTCTGCTAGGTTGCCTTGTCTTCGCGGTCATCTCATGAAGCTACACAAGCCGCGTTCTGACCTGATCAGGGCGGAAACTCGGTTATCGCGTAGAGTTATCGAGCGCTGGAACTCGTTTCCAGAAAGTGTAGTCAGTGAACCTACGGTTAAGGGTTTTGAGCGTCAGTTAGACGCTCTTGGGTGGCAACACGTAACCTATTCCTTCTCCTGACCATATCCATCTTCAAACTTTTAGTTCTTATTATGTCATTCTCTTCACTCTTTGGTGTTGTCCTTTATTTTAATAACTTTCATTCTTCTTTATCTTCCATTTACTTTCTGCTTCTTTCTTACTTCACGTAATCTACACAGCGGGGAATGCTAGTGCAGGGAACGTGGGCAGTAATTGGTCGATCAGGGTGTGTTTCGGTGTTTCACTTTAAATCTATCAAGACCTAGAACTTTATCATTTCCTGGCTCAACGAGTTGCTCAAGAAGGAACACTCAAGGGATTTTCCTATCGTTCCAGTCCATCTGAATCTGATTCTGACAATTCCAACAACGTTTAATAAAACGGACTGACTGACTGACGTCATATAAAAGGAAAATGGCTTTTGCTGTTTAATACATACAACACAATGTTGAACTATCATTTTGCTATAAAATTTGTCAATATTTGCCTTGAGCTTTTTGTTTTACTAATTACGTGTCCGGTTATTGCGGAATACTCGCGGGATGCTTGGTGGTGTTCGATCTTCCCGGCAGGTATGTTCTTTATCGTTTACCTGCTAGCCTTATCGTAGCCTACTTTCTTTCTTCGTTCGCTTTTTCTGCCACCTAAGTCTTTACCTCCTTATTGCTTTCGTCGTTTAATGTTTACGGCCGTCTTTCGATGACATCCGCAATCACCTTATTACCGGTTCTCCTGCCCGTAGTGGCTATGTTTACTACATACTGTTAATACACTAACCTTATTTGCGGACTGTACCGCTTAAGTCCGATTACGTATGCTAGTGATTTGTCTGTCTACTCTAGCTTGTCTGGTGTCGACTTCATGCATTGTTTTCCCTTTATTTCCCAACAAATTAACTGGTATTGTCACCCACGGTATTGTGCTAGACACACGACAGTGGACACGAGCACCGTGTAGTGTGCGACGTGGATCATTCGGAACCGCTTGCTACGTCAACCGTTTGGAGGTTTGCAGGTGCGTTTGTCCTTAACCTATTCTGGTACGGGCCTTCTGTATAGAATCATTGTTTCCTGAACAACTATATGGCTGAATTTCAGTTCACAGTTTGACGAAAAGTAACTTGTAAGTCTTGCTGTCACAAGTCTGCAGTGTGGTTGTAAATAGTGAGCGCGTCGCTTTTCTGAAACACTTGGTAGCCTTTTTACTGACTGGAGATCTTGGCGCCAACGGGTCACATGGAGACCCCATCACGTCATCTATGTACGCAAGGTGGACAAGTGATCACATGCCTGTTACCGCTGGCGCAGCTTTACCCAGGCTTGCGAACCACATTTGGGATCAAGCGCTCGTGTGTGCTGAAATCTGCTTTTTTTCGCCCAACAATGTCGCCGAAAACGGCTTAATGTAATTAAGTTATCTGTCTCAACGTTCTTCGAGCTTTACAGAATGCGTTAGCCTCAAACCTTAAGTGCTTCAGGTTCTAACCTCCGGATCCACTGTTTATGCATTCGCGGTGCCATTCACGACTGCAACCCTGTTCTGGGGTTTCGTTGATAGTCCTGTCAACCACTATCACTGCACGATCCTTTATGCTTCCCGTATTCCGTCGAACAATTCCCGCTGGTGTTGTATACCACTCAGTGCGCAGGAATATCTGCTTTGAACTCAAGGAGCTCCTCATTAAGAATCGCGAAGCTTGGTGTACGCAGCAGGTTATCCAGAGGTAATAAGCAGCCAACTAGAAATTTCCGATCCACTGGCAGCAGAAGCACGATTGCAAGCGAAGTTTTGTGCAAAACCAATGATAAGCTAATCCACTGTCAACAGAGTAGGGTTGTGCGTTAGGGCGCAGTTTAATTGGCCAGCTGCACCGATAACTTCCCACTCAGGAGCCCGCGGTGCTTCTTGAACTGCAGACGCTTCACCATCTGAGGCTAAGGTTACCTGTGAGGTTCCTCTATAACCCATGGCTTAGACGAACTACCTTCGGTTCTTTTTAAAGATAGTTTCATCGCTTGTAGTATTCCTTCGTCTAAGAGATTTGGGTCACAGAATTATTCCCGTCTGATTGCGGCCTAGTGAATAACGTGCCCGTTTTAATAAAGGGTGCTCGAGCAGGTTGCGCTAATAAGGCAACAATATGCTGGCACATCGTGCCGACGCTTCGCTGCAACGCGACTACCAACGCTCGCACACGGACTGGGTATACTGCAAAGTCGCCCACGTATACGCAGTTTCGAGCCGGCGACCGGCATTAGCAGTCCTTCCGTAGAGTGCTGTCTTGCTTTATTTCCAAAGTTCTCGTCGCCCTGCTTTCGATGCGGATCGGCCTGATACACGAACAGCAAGCTGGATTCCGCCTAGATAGCATTATATGGTTGCTAATCGACTACAAGAAACAATGATCTGCACTGTTGGTCTTTCTAGTGGCAACTACCTATTAATCGAGACAAGTGTTCTGTTTACCTATTGGCGCTACTGAACCTTTCGGGGCCTGTCACATTGGCGATAATTTACTTGAAAATACCACTCATGGAGGACGGCAGAATCGTGTCTCCCGACCTTAGGTCAACTCAAAACACGAAGAGGGTCGCCGCTGCCTATAAGATATTCCATGCCTTACGAGAACCTTCTGCGCTTGACTCCGGTGCTCTTCCGACTCATGTTTACATCGCACGTCCGTCCGATTTTTGAATACGGTTTTCTTGCCTCCTATCCTTTCACCAAGTTGGAAGGTAACATGATTGAGGTCCAAAGGTGCGATTCTAAATTTTTAAGTCACGTGATCTGTCTTATACCCTACGGCTCTAACACTTGAATCTTCTCTCTGGATTGCCGTCATCGCCGTGGAGATTTAATTTTCACTCGACGTATACTTAGAGAAGAGCTGGGTGAGAGAGCTGTGGTACTTCTATCTCAGCACTGGGCTTTCGGCTAGAAGAATGGAATTTGTTTAAACGTAGAAGACTCCGAGTGCGGCCATTCTTGCTCTATCCACCCGTGTGCTGGATAACAAACCGCTGCTCGGAGCTAGTCGTTGACGTACAAACTGGGGAATGTTTTGAAACTGTTGGATTCTCACTACTGAATAAGCCGGGATCTTGCTGCTTCCATTGCAACTTCGATGGCCCTTTGCGGATCTCCGTCTCGCAATAACCAACTCATCACTGCTATGAACGAGAGGTAATGGAGCAGACTAAGCACCTGTGTGCTCTACTATCCAATGAAACCGTTCATCCTCAGGCGAATTGGTGTTCGGTAGATTTTCGTCCTGCAGTATCACCAGTCGCTTGAGACGGTTGCCCAGCATCACCCTTCCTGTCCAGACTCGCTGTTGACCATGTCCTGGCGTGTACTGGAATACCACAAACCTAGCGATGTCAAGCTGTCTACAGTAGACTGACTGCGATTTTGAAATCGGCAGCAAACATCGCCGTAGTTTGCGGTTTCTCAGGCCGTTCAAAATGTACTGCGTAGGTTGGAAGTCTGTATTCCGATTCGTAATTACCTTCGCTCCATCGACGTGTAAATTCCTCCTACATGGCTGGCTATGAGCTGCTCCTCTCACTATCTCGGGTTATTCTTTAGAAGTAGTGATATCAGTACCGACGGTTCACTGGATGTCTCCCTACACGTCTCTTATACACTGGTTGCTTCTTCGAATGTCCGCCGTCTGGCGTCAACACTACAGCTTCTGAAGTACCAAGTCTACAAAGCTACGGTGCGGGTGGTCCTGGTCCGCACAAAAGCTGTCCACAGGATGATTTTATCACCGCTACGCATTGCTTGAATGCGATGGCAACTTCGTACTGATGATAATGATCATACTAGTAATAATGGTGTTCGCGTTGGCGTATTTTTCGAACAGACGTCTGCTCGCTGAGCTGTATTATCTGATTGCACAGGCTTCGGGAACTTGGGAACATACTTTGCGTGTCAGCTCAGCGTTTACCACCCCATGGCCTCTACTGGCGCAAAAGTCAGCTGAAGGTGAATGCAAGATAGACAGTGGATGATGGGTCCAAAGCATAAAGGCACTAACCTCAGTGTTGGTTGTGGTCGGATACAGCAAAAGTACAAGATGATTTTGCGAATTTATGCCGCTTGTGGCGCCACCGCAACACCAATCCCCGAAAGGGAAAGTTTACAACATAGCGCTCGGTTCAATCCTCTATGGTTGTGAAACCTGGCCCATGCATTCAACAAACATTTGTTTATCTACGTTAAACCATCGTTGCCTTTCGCTGTTTAGCTTAGGTCTGTGGGGAACACCGCGTGAGCAGTGTATGTTCATCATCATCAACAACAACAGTACGTCATACATTTGAACTGGTGCTTCGCCACCATCCAACCATGATGGCCTAAGGCATGAAGAATACTACGAGGGAGAGAAGGGGACTTAGCTAAAAACCTTAATGACCTAAGAAAACATTCAAGACCAATTCGCCTACACCATGTGTTAACAACATACCGTCACAAACTGCTGGCTATCGTGCAAAGATAAGGCGGCATCGGCGAGACAGCTTTTTTGGCTTTCGCTGCCCCGCGTCGTAATCATCCATTACGCAGCAAATAACTCAGCACTAAACACAAAACAAGCAATCCGACTAGGAAACGGAGGCCACTGGTGTCGGTTGCGAGCCATGTCCTGTAGTCTCGAGCTAAGCACAAGGCGTCACGTAGACTCCAGCTTGAAAGGCGAGACGTCCAACGGCACCCAGTTTAGTCATTTCACGCTGCCAAGTCAACTTGTACACCTCGAGCCTTGCGCCACCCTACACTTGGCAGACTAAACAAGACTTTCCTAGGTAAGCGGTGACCAGGCATACGTAGCCCTTACTTAAGCCAAAGCAACATTTTAGTGCCATCTGTTGTTCTAAGGAGCTAGCATGATTATCAATGCCTAGTACTTGCCTGCTCATATTATCGTTGCGGACACCCCGATGCCATCCGACACCAGAATGCTTTGCAGACAACGTTGATCAAGTACTTGAAAGCGCTTCAGATCTTCAGACAGAAGAGGTCTCACTACCAGAGCTGGACGGCTCTAAATGTGGCCTTGTACACACGATCTTTCAGACGGAGAGAAACTCCTACTGTCACCCAAGATGTCGCAGGTTCAAGAAGGCAGTTTTGGCTTTTGCAATACGTGAGCTGACTTCAATTTTTATGCTCCCGTCGTTGCTGATGCAGCAGCCAAGGTAAGTGAATTGATCAACCACCTCGTGTTCCTCATTATCAAGAGTCAAGGGGTCATCAAATGGTTGGTGACCCTGCAGCAACACTACTTTTAAGGTGCGAAGCGCATACTAACGGGACCACTAAACAAGGTATTCAGGGTTACATGTGCCGCCGCAAAATCGTCGAAAAGCAAGGCGATATCGTCCACATAATCATTATCAACTGACCTATCACCAGGCGATGTCTCAACGCCTACATCGTGAGATTCCTTAAGGGAACTGTACACGTCGAAATTGAACAACGGGGAAATCAGACAACCCTGACGAAGGTCACTTGTGATCTGAAGTTTATCCGACAGGTCTTGACGGGGCACGTAAGATGTTTATCTATTCCATGGAACATTTCCGTGCAAGTATTTCAAATCGATCGACTGAATCGAACGCATTCTTAAAATCAAGGAACAGCGATTGTCGGTCTGCGGCATGCGTGTCGCTGCTCTAGCACCTACCGCAAAGTAAATATATGGTCTCTGCAGCCCCGTCCTGGGCGGAAACCTGCCTGTTCTTAATCCGAGATTCCCGTTCCACAGTAAGTCGACGAACGAGAATCGAGGCCAGTAATTTTTTCACAACTGACATTAGGCTAATACCTCTGTGATTAGTACAGGCTGCGACTGTCCTACTTGTATATTGCCACTATAATCGATTCATTCCAGCTAGCCGGTACTCTTCCAGATATCTTCGAATAAAGTGGTCGGTGTTTGCATAGGACCTCGCCTCCATTCTTAAATAGTGCAGGTAAGGGAATCCGGGTCAGCAGTGCGAAAATGATTAAAAGCTGGGATCGCGTTTCGGACCTCGGCTTCCGACGGAGGCTCTAAACTAACTGTCCACGGCTTGTACTGCATCACCTGAGTGGGAAGAGGTTTGGGAGCATAGGGCCAACTAAACTGATCTTGGAACTTCTCCGCCCAACGAGCCATAAGGCGCTCTTTATTGGGTAACAGTGCACCTGTGCTGTCTGTGTCACTGGCGCCTGGTTTTCTGGGACCGGTGGTGCGGATCAGCTGGAAGAGCTTGCGGTAATTGACTACTGCTCTTGCCTCTTCCGTTTCTTGAGCCCGACTGATCCACCAGGCTTGTGAGCACGTAAGCTCTGTTTTTGCCCGCGCCTAATAGTCCATCTGGTCAGATTGTGCTCAGAGCCAGCCGGGATGTTTCTTCTGGATTCCATCAGGTTCACCGTCCTGTCGGATATCCAGTGACTGGTGCGGTGCCACAAACAGATGCTCCTGCGTCGTGCAAGGCGGCCGAGATCCTATTCCACTGAAGTTCAGTGTCCTTAGGACAATACAGCGAAACTTCGGTTCGCAGTGCGTCTTGATACGCTTACCTGACCGAGAGCTGAGACAATTTCTCAGTTGGAAATCGCAGAAGACGCTTTGTACGCCACCCAGTAAAGTTCATGGAGAAACGAAAGCGTACCAAGACATGATCAGAGTCGAAGCAGGCATTCCAGTACGAACGGCAATCCAAGATGAAGCGACGCCACCTGTCCCATGGCAATGTAACATGGTAATATGGGTCCATCGCTGGCCAGTTACATGAAGCAAAGTGGCACTTTGGCGCACACTGTCTAAAAGCAGTGCTACTAAAATACGTGTTCCGCACACAGTTGCGGCAGACGGTTACCGTTGTCAGTTCGTTAGGAGTTAAGCCCATAATTACCACCCAGCTGAGCTTCTGAAGAGCTCATACGTTCTACTTGTGCGTTCGTATTCCCTGCAAGTACTAATGTCTGAACTAATAGCACTACGTAGTAGCGCGTTCAGTTGGTGATAGAATGTGTCCTTGCCAGCATTAGAACTCGTCAGTGGGAGGATAAGCGAAAAAGGCAGCGTTTTGTACTACATGTCAAACGGGCTGCACATAAACGGCTGTTCACTTAATCCAATCAGCCAACAATGACAACCTTGGTGCTTAGAATGATACCTACCCAGCTTGATCTGTAAGAGCAGCATTCGTGTCTCCGGGTGCGTGCAACCAATAACGAGAGGACAAGCCAGGCGCAGTTAGTTCAACAACCCCATTAGGGTCATTGATCCTAGTTTCGGACACAACACACCAATACCCAGTGTGTCGAACGTGTGTGCTTGTGCAGCCTGTTGAACGCTGTTAGGGAAACGGGACAGTGTGGCCTTATAATGGACTGTTGCTGATAGACATCCGATGGGTGTGGTAGGAAGGTGGCATTTCGGTTGCTGTCAATTAAGCTCGGAATTATGGAAGGTTAGTAATGGGGGTCGGGATAGGAGTAAAAAAACAGGTGGAAAGGGAAAAAGGAAGGCGCCAGCAGTAGCATGTTTTCGCTTATCCGCCCTGCTGTGTGCAGTAGATAAGGCGGCCCTTGATGAGCTGTGCGACCGCCGATGGAGGATGAAGTTTATGTTTGAAGAAAAGTCATAGTTGTATGTGACTTGAGATACTGTCGGCGTCCAGACCTAGATAGGAGGACGATTAGGGTCCTCATCCGAAGCCTTTGGAAGGCAGCAGGGAGTTGGCTATGATTTAGTTTTACAGTATTGGACACCATTCCATTTCAAATCACCAACCTGGAGGACCAGGAGACTGAGTTTGTCTAACCTGGTAGGAGTAGCTCAAGAGGCCCGGAGGCACCACTCAGTATAGCTCCATATGTCAAGGAGTTACGCATATTGTCGCACCACGTTATGGTCCAGTCCCATTGCGACGGAACGTGTTTGGCGTATCGTATTTGTTGCAAATAGATCGAGTAAACTGCTTAGCAGCGTTCTATTACGCACCGGGCTCCGATGACTGGTGTACATGTCGCACATCGGCTCTCGCTATATGTTTGCGCGAATGCTATGTGGACGAAAGACATGGAGAAGTAACTAGTTACTTGGCTAGAAGAAATAATCTAAACTTGGACCTTGGCACTGATCGGTGTCTTCCGATTACCGATCTGGACTCTAGATGATGAACACGTTGGATGCACTTGTTGCCATGGTGGCTGATCTCCACGACATTTGTGTTGTGAGTTTCTTTGTCCCTCACTGTTCCACTTATCTCTCTCCAACCACATTCTCACCCAAAACATGATATGCGTCTATAGTACTTTGCATATCGCTTTTTTATTGTGGCACAATAGTTAGGGTTTCTCACCTTTAGCTTTCTGTGTACTGTACGTATCTGTGGCCGTGGTTGGACATTCTCGGGCTGGAGACCAAAAGACCACGAACACGCTTAATTGGAAACCCTCTCAAACATGACTTGTGATCACACTCAATAGCGAATAATTTTTCAGTCTTCTCTCTTCCCTTTAATCCATGTGTAATGTCACTGTTAGCTGTGTTGATTTTGGCCAAGTATTATGTGTTTGACTGCATCCATTTCCGGACTTTCCTGTCACTAAAATTGCTTACGCCTACTGAAAGACCACGGATGTCTTGCACCCCTTACAGCTCCAAACACATCCCATAGCCATTGTGCACCCTTGAAAATAGGACTGGGAGGCAGGTAGATTGGAGCCACGACTAGTTCGGGGCCGTCCCATACTCCCGGGCTATACACGTTGTTTACTGCCTGTGACTTGCTTAAGCTTGCCTCCCACTTTCTTACTACATAATACACCCTCTTTCATGTTATTTTAACCCACGTTGCTTTCATCCGCTTCTTGTTTTACCTTTTAGTAGACTAAATGCGAATTCTCTTGTCGGTGTATTTAAAATGTATATTCAATTCCTAAAACTCTATCCTTTGCTTACTCATCCTTATAGCACGGACCAATGTCGAATATTTCAGTGTACGATCCTAATCTTAGCAATCCTCATAAGGTAAGCTATCTAACTATATGCCATCTCACTGCACTGGTAAATTGTGCCTTTCTCCACTATACGGTCCTCTTAATGCCCAGTCGATAAGAATGGTTAAGTCTTGTGCTTCTGTGTCTGGTTTCTAGCTCTGTTTCGACTGCGCATGATCATGGATACCCACTTCTAGGGTTATTCGGCGACGAAATAGCTTGTATACCGTCGTTTTGTCGTGTTAACCGGCCGATTCAACTTTCCTTTGAGTATTGCATTAGTCCATCCATCTCTAACATTGAGTCGGATATCTTTCTGTCTCACCTTGATCAAGTAGGTTGTTTCTCTCTGTCACTTTACTTTCTGACAAAGACATCAAAAGCGCATTGTACGTTGTGGGGATACCTGGCCTGACCAAACTGACAACCAGCACAGATGCCTGGTCGCAATTCATCCACAGACGGTTGTATGTGGAGGGCTTTTGTCGATGTACAGGGTTGCAAACCTGCCTTGTAATCCTAAGGTCGCTGGTCTGAGCCTGCGTAGGGAACCGGGCGATCCTCGCAGTATCCTCAGCACTCGCGCGACTGATTCTAGTTGCGCGGCAGCGAAGCGTGGGTACTGCGTACAGGCGTACTGCCGATCCTTTTTTTATTCATTGTGACTCAAGTACTTTTGCGGAACGTCCTTCAAACCTTGAGCAACACTTAAGAGGTCATATCGAGGTCGACGCACGTCGAACAGACGGTGGTGCTAGATTCCAGCAGCTGTGTGCCGACCACAATCTTTATCTTAACAGCATTGCTTCCAAACAAACGTTCACGTGTCACGTTGTTCCCACCGACTTTCTCGATGGCGTGGATCCAAATTGACCCTCAGTCCAAGACTATCATTTAGTAGCGAGTGCCTGGATTCCGACCATGCTCTGGCGCTCACTCCGCTTCAAAGAAGCGCCTTTTAAGCATGTGACGAGTTAAACATGAACTGTCCCGCTAATTGTTAATGATAATTGGCTTGGTGAACCAAACGCTGACCGGAATCGTCTTACGTTTGGTTTTTGTTGCCTATCATGCGCCCAACTTGAAACGTCCGAACTTCGAATGAATCGGTGGCATCGATCAGTTCGATAAAAGCACGGAAACTGGTGCCAGTAATACTGACGTGGTCTATGATTTGACCGACGAGGCATGCGTGGGATAAGGAAAGCCAGTGCTTTAGTAAACAGGCAGCTTATATTTCACCTCATTCCGGAACACGAGTCCTAAAGGAGCTCTCAGTTAGTGAGACAATAGATATGAATGATGGACAGCTGCTTTTTTTCAGCCTCGTTGATTAGCTTGTTGGGCGAAACATTTTGAAGAGCAGTTCAGCAGCCATGTTGCGACATTGCTTACGGAATAAGCTGAGACGACGTAGGAAGTTGTTGTCACACCTCACAGTGTTGGATAGATTCGACATGAGCTCGGGGTGTCGACGCGAAACTTATGATCCCGACGACCTTTTATCTTTGCTGAAACATGCAGGGGATTCTTTGTTGATTGGAATTGTTACTCTATTTAACACCGTTTGGGACACTGAAGAGATGCCTTCAGTCTGCGAAAACCATCGACGCATTAACCCTATCTCCATTGCGTCCAAACTTCTCACAGGCATCATACTTCAACTAACTGGTCTTCGTGAGAGTCGAATCATTGAAACTCAGGTTGGCTTTCATGGTTGTATCGATGGTATGTTTTCTCTTCGTCAAGTGTTGGTACACACTTGCAGACGACCGACTTGAAAGTAACCGACGTTTGATTATGCCAGCTTGTGAAACTGCCTATCCTTGAGGAGTGTGGCATGCGAACTCCTTTCCTCTCTGAAATCCTTACCGTGACTACCGATGCCGGGTAAGAGTTTGCAGAAAGATATCTTCCGAGTTTCACCCACAAATGGGTCTTTCCTTACCCCTTCAGCTTTGTAATCAAAATGATTCGGAGTAAGATTTCTGCCAGGTGGCCGACCCACAACTCTTGAATATGCGGACGACATAGCTATGCACATTGACCCGTAACGATGCATCTTTCGACATGTGCTTTACAACTTCAAACTGCACGATACTGCTGCAGGACTGGACCTATGCACTGCTGGTTTTAGCTATCAGCGAATATCTACTGGGATTGGTGGATCGGTTCACATACTTTGGTTCTCGTGTCAACTCTGGTGGTAGTGGTGGTCGAACTTGGCGTATCAGCCCGTGTGTGTTTTCATTGGCTCAACTATCTGGTGGCGGCAGCACATCAGTTTGTCAGTGAAATGCCGGTGTTACTATTTGGATCAGAGACAGCCATTTCACAGCAAAGACAACATGAGCTTGGCTTTGTTCGATCACCTAGTGGGTCCGCCAACTGATTTTTAGTAAGAAGCCTTCTGATGTCTTATCGAGTGTTTGCGGAATCTGAACCACTTACTCTCTGGCTAGGTCATGTCTTCCGTATGCTCCTTCGCCCTGCTTCCGCGGCGTGCAGTATACGCCGTGGCTGCACCAAGTTGGGCGAAACTGCGAAGTTGCCACTCCTTAACGTGGCACAAAGGTCCGGAGAAACTGACCGAAAGATTTGATCAGGCTATTGTGGATGGAGCTTCGAGACTGTCTACACCAGTGGTAGGGGACTGGCACGTGGCGCATTCATTGGCGTTCCTGCACTCGGTTCCTTGCATCCAGCTGTTTTCACTTCCTGATTAGTTTGACGCACTTCATTGGTTTTATCTTTTTCACATTCTATTTTCATTTACCTGTCGTTATTGCTGTTCTGGTGACGTGAGTCGTGGCAAGTCAATCCAACGCACTTCCGTGCCCGGATCGTAGTTGTTCATCTGAAATGAAGCTCTTATTCTACTCGGACTACGCGCACTCGTATTTCTCGGGCGCACTTCTGATCAAACTATCCCCAAGAACATTGATTTAACGGATCGAGGAACGTCTATGGTGGGTCGACAATATAGTTGGCGGGGCTCTAACAACTGACCTAAAGTGAAAACTCGATTTAGACGAAACCCTGTTTGCTCTTTTTGCATATCTGATTCACAGGAGCCAGTCGGTCTTGAGGAACCATTTCAGATGATAGAGGCCAGATGGCGCATTCCGAACACAATCCTTGTCAACCGAGACTGTAACGAAGCAGCTTCAGTCAATTAGAACGGTTTCCTATTAACAGTTTCACTAGTGAGCCGTTCAAATCATCTATAAGATTTGGTCGCTCGAATTCTAAGGTATCTAGAGCAAGATCATCTGTTCATGCAGTCTTAATCAATTTGTGGAGTCCGACCTCACGTTCGACTTTTGTGCGCGAAGGCGGCTTCAAAGGAGCGGCTGCTCATCAGGACGATTACTGACAAGCAAGCTGGCGATTGTGGCCGATTCAGTTGCTTTTCAAAGTTTATCGAAACGTTTCCGGAGATCAGCACACAATCGCAAAGTCAGAGTCCACGCTTTCGCCGCTTTCCCAACTGCAATTCTGCACGCCACCTTCCAGTGGTTACTTGTTACGGTTCGATCGATTCATGGCTTTTGGGTACCGCGCCTGTCGAGTAACCGCTCACCACGCAGATGCAGCTCATCATTGGGCACTTTTCCAACTTGAGCTTTCAGATCACCATCTGGCACTACAGTACTCGTACAGTTGACCATGTAGGTCATCTGTCACAGCTCTACAGTACGAGCATAGACAGACGGACACCTCTAAGTAGGTCGAAACTGGGACATTTGTGTCCAGCTTTCCAATGTTGCCGTGTTTACACTACCTAACTGTATAAGTCAACTCGTGTAAGTGGAGTTCGAAGTGGATAAGAGATACACCAATTCCGACTGCTCATCATTCTCGAATTTGTATGTGCCCTTGGATCTTTCTGAGTAGGCTTTTGGTTCTGGCCATTTTAGTCTGATTATTTTGATTGCTTTCCCTACTGAGGAATTTATTCATTTGATCACCGAGCACATGCGTGAATGAACAGGATCTAACGGTTAATTTATGCCTGTTCAAGCTAGCTGCATATTTGTTCAGAGAAAATGTTGCACTTTGCGCACAATTTACATGCAGGCATATTGGATACCTAGTTTCGTATTTCGGAGCGAGCACTGTATTTCGGTTGAAGTTGATTATTCCTGACTTGATGTGCCTCGATAAATTCGAAAATAAACTATTTCTTTACTCATTTGAGCGCATTGGCCTGTCAGGTCGAAACGTTTAAGCGCGCTCAATTGGATCATGTTCTAACATTCTGCAGCGTTATGGACAAGTCTTTGATTAGAACCGAAGATCTGATGACTGGCGACCCACCGCAGTTGTTTCTCTAGATCCATTGGATCTATATGTCCTTTGGTAAAGTTGTCTTCGATAAATATGTAAATTTTAGAGCACCGTATGCGCGTAGTTCGGGGAGTGAGGACTCATAACAAACTTTCTCCAGCGGTGTGAGACAGTTGTCCACTGCCACTCCCTTTTACCTTCACCATCGACATAGTTACGGAAACTGTGTCCACCGGACACGAACTACAAGGCTTGGAGCTGCTGTCAGCTCATCAACTTTTTGCTACTGAATACGTTGACAGCACTGAATAAATTAGCTCAGGCTATCAATCGTTCCGAACTATACTTTGCTTCCACGAAGCAAATTCCTCAAAGATTGACAGCGATTGCATCTGCGCTGACTTGGTAGGGATCAGCTGTATTAGCACCTGTGGGATAGAACATCAGATCACAAACCGTTAAGCAAAAAATCGGGGTACTTTTGCCAATCTCCGTCGCATTTGGCACCTCCGCGACATCACTCTCCCTGAAAGACAGTTTATAGCGCAGTCGTGTATTGAGCCTTCCTGTACAGCTGCGAAACTTGGCTCATCAGACATAGAGAGGCTAGGTACGTTCAACCATCGCGCTCTTCGCAGTTTAGTTTATACCTTGGGCAATGAGCTTGTTCAGCGTCTGCTATTTGTTGCCATTAAAGCGAGTAAACCGCTGAGCACCGTTATGTTACGCACCAAGTTCCGATGGCTGGGACACGTGTTGCGCATGCCAGCAGATCGACTCCCGCGACGCGTTTGCGCGACCGGAGCGTGGATAAAAGTGAGGCCGACCGATAACTTCGTCAAAATGAATGAAAGCCCACTTCGAACTTGGCGGCGGTTGGTGCCTTCCGACTGCCGGGTTGGATTCACAAGGACGGTGAGCATGTTTGGTTCAATGCACCTGTTGACGTGGCGGGGAGCTGACCTCGATGCCGTGTGCGTTGCGAGTTTCTTTGTCCCTTCCTCTCCCGCTTATCTTCCACATCCAAGCGCAATATCACCCAAGACACCTGAATCTGTGCAGTATATTTGCAATTTTCCATCTCGATTTCTCATATCTTTTTGCATTGCGGCACCATAACTGGGCTGATTCTCACCTGTCACTAACGTGTAATCATGGTGATGACGAATGTGTGTTGAACTGGTTTCTACACCGCGGTGTAGCGTTGTTGCGTGTTGCGTAGTGTATGCATATTTTGAACACTATAATTCTGGCATCTACTGGATCGAATGGTTTGAGAAACCTGGTCTTTGTTTTCTTTACCGACGCCGTTCCGTGAAGTGCATATTGCTGAAAAAAGCTTATTCCTTCATCTCGGATTTTATTGCTACTTTGGGGCAATTTCCGAACAATAATTCGAAGCGACAGTACTCTTACACGAGCTCTTCACGTACTCTTCATGATCGTCTAGGTCACGCTGTACGCTGCAATGTAAGGCGCACCTAGACAGGCGTTGCTATTTTAAAACTCTTGGCTCATCCATCGATATATGATTCATTCTACTCCCAATCTCCTAACTGGCTTCTTTTTTAAGCATCCGCTTTAGCTTCGGTTGCATACTGACTTGTTCCATTTTTGCGAAAGCGGATACTTCCCCTTTATACCGTTTAACTCGATTAAGTGAATTGTCTTCACATCCTTAAAGTCGGCTGCCTGTTTCATCTTTCCCTCCAGCGACTTGCTTCCTTCCCACCTGACTCACAACACGGCAATCGTTCCTCCAAAAAAGCAAGTCAATGTTTTCGTCTTATCTTCCCATTAGTTTCTGAGTCGGTTCCATTTCCTCTTTGGACTTCCCATGCTAATCTTTACCACTGTCACTTTTTATTAAACACGTTGTGGTACATCCACACCACAGTAGTTGATTTCTTGACAGGTCAGGACTTAGATCGATTGAGGAAAGTAGACTGCGATTGGCTGCCGCTTGTGATATAGTTTATTGTTAACTGCGCCGCCCAATTTCTAATGTGCTAGATTCTGTGATGCTTTAAAGCTACCGTAGCCTCGCAATTTGTTGCCTCGGTTGGTTCCATCCAACCAGAATATATTTTTTTACGCCTTGATTTTTGTGTGATCTGTTTCCTTCGTGTCATTCTAACAGTCCCGACAGAACTTCGAACTCTCCGATGATGCTCCCCCGTCTCACGTCGTAGTCATCGAAAACTTGCCCCCCAACGTGACCGAGAATGAAGTTGCTGGTTTGGCCGCACCCTTCGGACACATTGTCAGTATGGTTCTCACGAGGATGAGCGGGTTTGTAAGTTTCCCCTCTTCTATGGCAATCTAATATATCATAATGCGGTTTCAAACTGTCCACCTCATAAAATTGAAGTCTGGTTGCTTGGGTTGTTCAGATGGCGGTTGAACTATTTGCACTCTCACCGAAGCTCCTCTGCGCTACTGCACGCCACTCAACTACGCACTGATGATGTCACGATTGATGACAAAACTTTTGCAACAAAATTGCCAAACTCAGCGAACAGTTCAACCGCCATCTCTCCATGGCATGTGTTGCAGCCGATGCTATCCAAATAATTAGCATTCACACGAGTGGTATTGCAACTTTTAGCACTCGTGTTTCCCTGTCTTGTGTTATATTCGTGCCTGGCTATCGATTTCTGTCCCATGAGGGCAAATGATCACCAAAACGATTTGCTGCTGGCCTGCCGTTCACAGAGCATTTACGTATTTTGTTTACCCGATCCATGGATGGCGTGCATCGGGATGAAAGTGGACAGCCACTAACTGGGCACTGAGTGTGGTCCCGTTGGCCCTTCTCGATTTCCATACTGCGGTCTGTGCGACTCAACCGACGCAGTCAGTGGCGTATTCACTATGGTCTATCAGCTTAGCTGACGGTTTGAAAGTAATATTGCACCAAGGTACCTGGGACAGGGTTGGTTTTGGCGCAGAACAGTGGTGATAGCCACAAAGAAGCTTTCTCGCGTATGTCGCCTTACATACCTAAAGTTGTCAGCTGTCTGTGAGGTGTTCGCGGGTCACAGGCGCCTTGATTTGTCATGTTCACTAAACAATCTCTTTTTATTTACTAGCATTGCCACTCCGTCGTATGATGCTGAACTACTAGTTTGACGTGCCGATGTGTTCTAATTGCGAACTTGTCCACAGGTTACCGACCTCTATCTGCGTAAGTTTCAGCTACATCTGAGGGTACTTATCAGTTGTTTCGTGCCAGGGGAACTACCAACCTGCCACTGCTTTGACGTTGATCTTATCTAACTGTGCTTGTGCAGCTTTGGCCTGGCCTGTCACATCATCTGAGCTGACATTCATGCGACTTACTTCCGCAAAATGACCCTTGGAATAAGAGAAGTATAACCCACTCTAATGTTGATGGTCGCCTCATGTTTCTGCGCCAAAGCATCCAATTCACAATTGGTTATGTCCTGTCAGATGCATCACTGAGAACGGAGTCTTCATAACGTGTGTATGGGCTTGACTCACATGTGTCTGTGACGCTTTTCTCCTATTATTGCCACCAGTAGAGCACCCTTCACATATCATTGGCTACAAACTGCAGATTCTCCGTTCGATAAGCGTGCGGCACTCATTTGCTCATTTACCTTAAACGAAGATTTGTCCGCGTGCAGCGCCACCGTACACATCACCGAACGGGACGGGCTTCATGTTACCTCGGCTTGGGCTGTGAGTCGAATTTTTTCGCATATTCTGGTATATTTTATACAGAGATCTCAATCATCGAGAGTCCTGTTTTGGTCCCATGTGCTTTTTCTGCATTTTTTCAATCACGTTATCACTATCGATGTTTCCCATTATCCACTCCTTTCAGGGCTTGATCGAGATGGCCAATCAGATGGCCGCGGAGGATATGGTGGATTACTACTCTCGCATTTACACTCCCAGTATTCGCGGCACTGGCCCTTTAATCGTTGCGTTCAGTCGCTATACATCTCTGCAAAACGCCGGAATCACTCCACAGGCTTCGGAAGCCATCATGAATGCTAATAAGCATTTTGAAGCATTGAGCTCTTCCGGTTTTTTCAAGAGTCCGCGTACGGTTGTTCGCGTTCGTGTGTTCCAATCACCACCCGGTATTCACTTCGGTTACATGCAGTTTTATCGAGTAAGCGCCCTTTTGATTAGTCTCATTTCTCATCTCCGTTTGTTCGTTGACCTTTCCTTCATCGTACCACATGAGCTCCTGCTTGGTAGCCGTTCGCTGTTCAAGCAATTGCTACAGCCGTCCTGTTTCAGGTACGCTTTTCGGATTCTCAGTTGTGATTTTCCTGTACATCCTAAGTTGGGTTCACATTCCTCCGTTCCTTCATAATGTGCACTTCAATATGGGACTTATGCTCGTCACGGTTCCATTCCTCCGAGGGGTTTGGAGAACGCGTTATGCTATTGCTTTGTGTTCAGCTTATTTCGTTCGTTGTATCGATTCCATCTCTTTCGATCTTTTCAGCTGTTTACTAGACATGTTTACACTTCACACGCACTTGACTGACAGTCTATCATGATCCGAATTTTTACCCGCGTCATTTGTACGCCGGTGCCATGTTGCAAGTCGACTGCAAAACGACGCGGGTTTTTACTTTTGTGCGCGTTCTAAAACCCTCTCTACTCATTCCACGTACATGTCCTTGTTTTCAGCTGTTTCATAAATTCGGTCGCATTTTACGCATTATTGCCTTCAAGTCTGGTGCTTTGCCCAATGCATTCCTCGAATTTGACAATCCCCTGTCTGCGCAAGTAGCCATCGTAGTGAGTTCCGTTTGTGTTCTGGCGCGTTTTGCTTCCATTTCAAATTTGAATGCATTTGACGCAGTTGCTCGCTTCTACACGGCTCCGCTGTCCTCACTGTTCGTTAGTTCTGCCTCGGTTTGAGTATCTTCAAGGTCTTTTCATAAACTGGGTCCCACAGTACACTGTATCGAGCGCTGTTTGATCTAGTAACAATCTTTAAGCGGTCAGGCATGTAATGCGAGTCGCCTACACTTGATATCGAAGATCGCATGAAGACAATCTCACCGACGACGCCTTATTTTCTGGCGGCAACTGCCCGTATTGGTTGTACAGTATTCGCAAAATCTGAATGCCTTGCTCCACCTTGCCTTGGTGAATTTGCTTTCACATTTGGGCTTTTCTTTACTATGACCGTCTATCCACTTTTGGCTGTATAATTGTGATGCGCTGGAGTTAAATGCCAATGTTCTGCTATCCCTACTTTTAACGGCGATGGTGCTGACATTCATTGAGATTCGGTGAACCCAATCTACTTTATTACCTCCGGCTTCGCAGCCGTGCAACCACCACTAGTCGCACGCGGGGTAACTATACCGCACGGACGCTCACCCCAACACGGATTCAAACACGCGCCGCAGGCTTACGAGACAAGTTCGTTACATCTAGCCTACAGGCCGCTACCTTGTCGCTAGATTCAACCATCTCGTCCTCGTCATCATCTGCCAAAGGACATGACTTACACTTCAGCAGGCAGTCGTTGACGCTTACATGCGTTCCAAAATCGCAACCTTGGGATCACTTTAATATGTGACTGTTTTCCGTAGTCTCTAGCCGAATCTTGAAAGTCTGTGTGATAGTTTCAAAACTATCCTTGGGGAGCATAAAATGGTCGAATCCGCACGAATTCAGTCAGGTAGGCTAAGGTGGTGGCTGTGCGTTTAGTGCCTCCTCCGAGTCTAACAGCTTGTAGCTATGTGATCAGTTCAACTTATTACAAATTGGGACCCAGCCCGAAATCCTCGTCATCAAGTTTCACTGTTGTTCAGATGTCCCGGCTTTAGGTCTAGTACCTGGACGATTTGCAACACATTCCTGAAGGCGCTTCCCAGTGCATCACATTATTTGATGGATATGCCTCATTAATCTCAAGCACATCCCGTCGTCTTTCAGCAACGATATAAATCTAGCATAAACGCCTTATTATTCCTACTAGACCACTGTACCGACTTGTGGTTAATTTCCGATTCCGCCGCTATACTGCTGTACCTAATTTTCGTTACTTTGCCTTGTATGCTTCAAAGCGGGAACCTACTACAAAATGCCAGTATTTCATCAGACATGTTCAGCAGCTGTGCCTGCGATTTGATCGTGGATACAGAACACCAGCCCGCCACCATTAAAATTAAATTCGGGGCCTCTGGTATCGTCCACGGCAGTAAGTCGGGTTGTCAACCGTATCATGGTCCGGCTCAGTCACTCTTCAGATTGTCTGTGTCAGCGTGTCTGTTAATTCATAAGCTATCAGCTACTGTCTCACCGGAACGTTTCGTTCCATCGCATACATTGAATTGAAGCAATTCCCGGCCGTTTCTCCACTACCAGCTTGTTTGCTCTGCTAAGGGCTACTTTCGACACTGAAGAATTGTTTCCTTTTTGGCGATTACCCACCAGCATCTTCATCGAATGGCTGTTCCAAACTTCCAGTCGTCATTCCGCAACTACTTGGGAAAACCAGGTCGATGGGAGGCAGGGAAGGCCGTTTCAAGCCTGCTTAGGGGCCGGGCGACTTCACCGCATATTTAGCCCGCATGCGATTCTTCTTGGTTGCACGCAACAAATCGTCGGTGCGGCGTACTGCTGATGCCAGAAAAGCTTTCATTCTAGTCACCTTCATCTTCCGTCATGTACTGGAACAGCAACGCCATCCGGATGACCCACCATTGTGATTTGCCTCGATTTGATAGTGACTGATCGTACTTGCCCTTGAGTGCAACCCATTACTCACTCGGTGGTACCATCATATGTGATCGGTATTCCTAAAGCACCGGTGGTCCAACACGGCCAAGCTTATACTGTGTTCACTGTGAGCTGGACAGATCTCTTACCCATACAGTAACACCGGCTTTATCGCAGCGTTATACACCCCTACCTTTTACTGATAAGCTGATATCTCGCAATCTCCACAGATTGCTAGGTCTGTAAATCTGCACGGGCCTTGCTGATACCCAAAGTGATCACCAATAGTGACACAACTACCAAGGTATGTGAGCCTGTGGTGCACTACTTATGAGTAGTATGGATATAATCGAGGGCGCACAAGGGAAACAGGTAAATCATGAGATGCCGGCAGACGAAAGTGTGATGGAAAATCAATCGGACGACGTACACGAGGGACACGAGGCTCGGTAAATGAAAAGTTACAACGACACATCGCTCCGGAAAGGTGCCGCGAAAGTCATGCGCAAAGTGGACTCGCTTTCCTATGTTCGAGTTATTCTGTTAACCAGACATGCGTTCCACAATAAACAACTACTCCGACCCTCATTGCGTTCTCAACAAACCGATCCACCACTCCCAGTGAATGTTCGCCGATAGCTGAAACTGGTGCACCAGTTCAATACTTTGCACTTTAAAGTTGCAAAGCACAGAGAAACGTGCAGCGCTACGCCTCACCATGTGCGGTAGTGCTTGCACAACCAATACTTCAGATCCAAGGATATGTATGTCGTCTACATACTCCTCAAGGTTTGTCCATCGGTCACTCGGCAGAAATTCCATTCCGGACGAGTCTTAAAAACCGAGTCATTTATGATCTTTCCCATCACAAAGTTGAAAACAGAACAGCCCTGATGAACCCCACTTGTGTGGAACCCTGGAGACGCTGTCCCCGGGAGTCACGGCACAGACTTCAGCTTAGAAGGAACTTTAGCTGACACTTATCATGGATAGGTAGTGTCGCAAGTTGGCTCTGTTAACAGTCGAAGGCACTTTTCAAGTCAGGAGAAACCACAGGGTCGGTCGTTTGTAAGTGGTCAATGCAACCATTACCAGGATGGAAGCCAGCCTGACTTTCAATGATTTATATCTCATGAGGACCAGTGAGTTGTCGAAAAATAATACCAGCAAAAATCTGAGGAAATGATCGATGCTTTTCGCACAAAGCACACTGACCCTTCTTGAAGGTATGCACAATCATCCCAGTTGTATCCGGATCACGCAAAAAGCCGATCCGTAGCCTTTAGAATCGCAAGCTTACCTTGTACTCCGAGGTCGCGTCTTCGAATCTGCGTAAAGACTTGGCGGCTCTCGCAGTATCCGCAGCCCACGTGCGACTGATGGTGGTTGCGCGGCAGCAAAGCGTCGGTATGGCGTACCGGCGTGCTGTCTTCTGCCTTTTTCCTCACCGTTGTAACTTGTTGTCCTGGTGACACTAGTCGGGGCAACTAGCTTCGCCGCGCTTCGGTTCCCGGGTCATTGATGTACATCTGAACCGTACATAATGAACCAGCGACCTCGAAACTGCCTCTTCGATAAGCTATGCAAACACACTTGCATGATCGGACTTAAGGTAAATACTCCCAGTGGTCCGGCAATCTTGGAGTGTCGTGTGCTGTCTGAGGTGATAACCGAAGTGTTGACCATTAATTTCATTTACAACGTTTGCGATAGCCGTTCTTCTGATCACTTGCATGTAGAAGTCACACGCAGCATTTCTATTTGACAGCTTCCAGCATGTATTGAAATAAGTGTGGAGCTGGCTATTCCGACCTACCTCACTGTAGAACTGTGATTATGGATCTCTTCACTTGGGTCCATTTTAGTTGTTCGGTCTCTGCGCATGTACTTGTGAAGCGTGTATCCAACTTCCTGCGACGGACAGGCACTATCGCCAAGCCTGAACGCCAAAATGCGTTACGACGCCCTTATTTTTTACTTCTGTTTTGCGGACGCGACGCAACATCTTTTGTTATCCTGTCTGACATGGGTTCCTGACCTCGATATTGTACCATCCCTGGTTTATTTAGTACATCAGATTCTTCGGTACTTAGTCAATTACATCTCCCCTTAGTACTGACGGTTTGCTCCTCATTTGTGCTTTCTTGCACTTGCGTTCGATCCAAATAGCCTTGTTACCCGTATAACCTTTGCGTGAACTTCTACAAACTCTTGTCCACTCAATCGTTCTTTTCACAAACTAGCAATGCGATGGTGTTCCGATGCCAATGAGGGACGTACCCGGAACACCCACATGCGTCATGCGTCTAGATTTCTCACATCAGCCCACCATCGATGTGCGTACCGAGGATGTCAACTGCCGTGATTTCACTCGGAATCCGGCTCCGGAGTATGATCGAAATGACCGTCCATCACCGTTGTACAACGGACAGAACGATCAGTATGGTGATTCTGATCGACTCAGTCCGTTGACACCGAACAACGTGCTGAGGCAATTGACCGAAGACCGTTTGGCTCAGTTGGAGACCAGCGTGTTATCCGAACTAGCCTCCAGGATGGTTAAGCCATTACGTGAGTTAATCGCCTAGTTGTTTGCATATCACACACATATGTCACGTGCCTGAATGTTGCACACTCTAGGCTTTGGATTCACCGCCTCAGATTTTTGGGGTGCACCTTTTCTTGATCACTGTCAACTAAAGTGCCCCCCTGTATTTTTCTCCAATGACCTTGCTTCGCAGTACTGTCTACTGCTTGTGCAGGTGTTCTCTTCGCGTTGCTGCTAAAAGAATTATCTCTGCTCCAATTTATTATTCTATCCTCGTAATTTACAATTGGATATATCCGTCTGTAACGGTAATTCGGAGCGTCGGTACAGTGTATCGGTGCCTCGCGATCACCACCAGCCGCATGCGTGCTAGGCATACCACGAGGCCATTCGCTCATACGCAGATTCGAACCGACAACCTAAGGATTGCGAGTCACACTGTTTGGCCCATTTGCCCCCAACTTTAAGTCTTACCATGGTGTCTCCTTTCGCAGCAAGTCATTCGGCACAATTTTAGTCACGCAGTTGTCTTCCGCGAACAGCAACTGTTCTGCTTCTTATTGAGGCCTCGCATCTCGGTCCACCCGTAATCCAGTCATTTTCACTCATGCATCTGAAATATTTGTGCACTTGCTAAATATATATTCCGTTCATTGATCATTTACAGCTCAGTGCTGACTTAGACTTCGTAGATGTCCTCGTGCAAGTGATTCTCACCGCATCAAAAGCACGCTTTCTATGGGACGATCGTTTGTGATGCTTTCTTTTTGGAACTCGACGATTCGGTTAAATGTATTAAAAATCACCTTTTACAGCAGCTGTTAATTTGAATTTTTGTACAATGTTCTTGTCCACTGTTGTGCTGCACTCGTCACTTTCATGCTGCTCATTTGCTGATCAGACTGGGGTGATGATGATGATGTATCAGCTGTACGCCGTAACGGCGCTTCGCTGCCGCGCGACCACCACCAGTCGCGCGCGGGCTGAGTATACCGCGAGGACGCCCACCCCTACGCGGATTCGAACCGGTGACCTTATGGTTGCAAAGCAAACGTGCAGACCACTAGACCACCGGCCGACTGGGGTGGTCCGAAGCGAAGGATCTGTTGGCTGAATGTGTTTTCCTCCCATGGAGCTTCAATTTTCCCTAAGGGTCGTTTTTGTCCACATATTTTTTTCCTGATCTAATCGTCTAACTTCCCAATGTCTTCATCGTCCTTTGGATCGACTCCGCCTTATTTATGCTGCCTATCTACTCGTAAGTCTGCTTACCGTAATTTCTCCCCTATTATCGTCTACACTTTCCTCTTACAGTTAAGGCTGCTTTGAGCGCGGGTAGTCAGCAATCCTCGTTCCTAAAATCCCAGGCGGAAGTGTTGGAACATTTGGCCCCAAGGACGTCGCGTATGGGTTCCGGCGCTGGAAGATCATCTCAACAACCAATGTTTTCTGGTGGTTTTTCTATGGATGATGAACCAAATCAATCCATTTCTTCACCCGTTGTATACGTATCCAATTTGAATCAAGAGGTACGTTCTAATGGTTCTTACGGTCTACAATCATTTCGTATTTGGGATTTTCCCCGCTTTTTCCCTCGTTTCTATTCGAGACTACGGCGTGACCCTCAGCTATTACCTGCTTTACCGATCTTTTGCTAAGCTTTATCCACATTCGCCAGTACTAAAGGTGCGGATTGACCAGTTGCATTCCGCTCACCGTTGGAGATCCAATACATTCGACATTCTTAGCGTCGTGGAGTGTCACTCCTTTCGATGAGCCGCTTGCTCTCCGTATTGACTTTCATTTCCTAGTTTCTGATCTGAGGTGAAATCGCTCCGGTTTAGTTCGGTTACTCATAATCTAAGTGCGCTCTCTGATCACTTACTCTAATGTGTTCTTGGTTGTACCTGTCTACTTTTGGGCCGCGTATTACGTACTTAGTTGCAAACATTTCGTTATCCGATTAGGTCTCCTTGACTTGTGGTAGCATGCAATCCCGTCGCTGAATTTTGGCCCCCATACTTATTTCTTTTTCTAGGTAGGTTACTGGTTCAGAGACAACCAAGCTCTTTACTTGGGACTATCTCAGGCTTTGCTCTTGATCTATAGTAGAACAGATTCACAGTTAGTGTCCCTAACTCCCTCTTACGATGGGCTTTCTGCCTTCAATTTGAGCAGTGGACTTTAGCCTATTTCCTTCTCGTGTACCCTATGTTCCGAAATACTCTGGGTGTACATTAGGTCGCGTTTCGCCTCTGCGTAGCGACATCCGCTTCTTTCTTACCGCCTTCATCCTCATCATTTCACATTAGCTGAAGATGGGAAACACTGCAACTATTTTACCCCAATAGATAACGATAAGACATACGAAAATGGCAAGACATTATAGAAAGCAAACAATACAGGCAACACTACTTAGTAACGGATTATGCGTCAGGAGAGGGATCGTGGTTGAAGAGGCAAGGTAAGCGGGATGGGGAGGAACGAAGAAACTCACAACACAAACGCTGCTCAGGTTGGCTCCTTGCCATGACAACTAGTGTATCCAACCAGACGTGATCGTCCTTCGGACCCCAGCCAGGCAGTCTGGACCGCCTTAACTTTGTCATTTGGACGGTGCGAACAAGGGTGTTCGATCTTTTCCCGAGCCGAACTGCGTCTACTATACGATATGACCATCTTTTTATCCCGGTGCCCAACACGGCTTGCGTGATCGGGCAAAGATCTTTGTTGTATCGAGTACTCCACGCTCAAACGAACTTCATAGCAACACTGCTCCAAGGTGTCAACGCTAACCACTACGCTATTCTGTATCGACTCACGGTTTAGCACTAAGGCACCAAGGTTATCGCACTGTCTATACCATATTCTGCCGATGCGTCCACTGTCTTTTGTTCTATCCTCATGATACTTGTGATTGACTTGTCCTATGCCTTCTCCCTCTCGTCTGTCTTTCTCTCTCTGGTGGCTCTTGGACACACGTGTTCTCTGTCTGTGGTGGAATTTATCTTTTGACTCGCATTCCTAATCGGTCTGCTTCGATTCCACCAAACCACACCACTATCCGAACTCGTCGAACGGCTGCTCAATTCTTTACTTGCCGACCACTTCCGGGCGCAACTGCTCTCGCCCGTCCACTCTATTTCTGTGCCCCTATTATTGTGCTATTACTACCAACTTACTGCTGGACGCGATGACTTCTGCGAATCAAGCGTGTCACACCTGACAACTTGTTCATTCTATTTGGTAAGAATACCGTTTGCTACTGTTCCGTTGTCGTCTTGTTTTCTTGATTGCTCATTCGTTGCTCTTTGCATTTGCTTAGGAGCACGGGCTCGCGTACCTGTGCACGCGCAGTCACAACACACCTGCTCGCATTGCTACTCTGACTTGTTCAATTTGCGAGAATTGTCTCTCACTTTTTCGATCGCGTTTCGACCATCGCCCACTTTGTGTCCGACTAATGGGAAGCTGTCTTCTAGTCAACAAGTCACTTACTGTGACGATGTCTAACGTGCTGTTGTGGTGTGTCCTTTGTGTCTGTGGACGTGAAAATCTGTTCATCTTGAAAGCCAAAGTAGCAGACTGGATATCAAGCTCATCTTGCATCGACATTTCACAGAGTCTTGTCACGACTCATTGCAACACCCAGCAAAACAATACAACTGTTACTGCCTACTATTTGCTTAATCGGGGTCTCCAAGCATGTTCCGATGTAACACGCTGTTATCACTCATCCGATCTAACCTGGACGATCCTCTTGTTTGAATGGTTTGTCTTGCGTTCGTTGCTTGTTGGGCTGCTATTTTGACTCGCGACGGAATGATCACTGCCATTGCATTATGTCGAAACGGGTCTTGCTGCGCCTAGATTCACTAGCAAACCACCTTCTCAGTGTCGGTAAAATTAATCTCTTGCACATCTCAGTCGCTATTCCCAGTTAGGTTTCAGTCAGACCGATATACACTTTTGTGAATCTATTTCTTCTTTGTGTCGTTTCGGTAGCGTGAAAAAGGCTTTCCTAATTCGGTTTAACTGCTCACGCAATGCGGCTGTTAATTTCGCCTTCGGATCCTCCCGCACCACGGCCTTCTGAGACGTTTTGGACTTTCCTACACTTGAGTGCATTCCCGCCATGCGCATGATACCGCTTCTTCGTTTTCAGCTGGAGCACTCGACATCGGACACTTGTGACTCCGAAGCTAGCTGTTTCCTAATTGATTAGGTTCAGTGACCACGTACGCACATCCCGGCCAATTTCTATACGATGTGGCAGTTTGCTTGTCTTAATCGATAACTGCTGGAGCGAAGTACTACGATGGTACTTTTCGGGTCTATATATATGTATTTGCAACAGTGTACGAATAGGCATGGAGCCATCAAAAACCATGGACCTCAAAGGAAGCTACAGATATTGTTAACAAATCATCACATCACGGAAGAGTCTATGGTTTCGTCAGAAAGCGAGCTACCACTTGGTTGCCCAAGCCTAGGTAGAGTGTTAACATAGGGGACGTCACCCTGAGCCTTTAGCCGAATGGCCTGCCCGCAAGTCAGCGGAGCGAATTCAAAAAATCGCGCCCATTGGGAGCTGGAGACTGATTGTCCAATTCATACGCCTTTCGTTTTGTTCGTTTGCCAAACAGGGACCCAATGCTGCCCACAATTTCAGCGTTAAGTTGCTGCAGTGACTTTATTTAGTGGCGAGTCACTTCCGCCAGTTCACAGTGTTGTTAAACGGACCTATGTGGCTTTTTATAGGGCGATCGCTTGCCAAGTAAAAGCCCACCACGAACAATTTGCTGGAACGGGATAATCAACCACCCAGATGACACCACGATGAGGTTGTTCGGCAAGCCAACCACTTTCCGGGTCTACTTCTCTGAGGCACTGAATTCCAGTTAGCTCTATCATCGGACGTCCTCATCTGGCCGCCTGGAGACCCTTTGTGTTATGCTTTCTTCTACGTCTTAACTCGTCGTTTCTTACTGGACTTCCGTATAGTTCTCCTACCGAGAGCTTCATTCAGACGGCGCCAATTTAGTTGAGTTTACTTGTATCAATCATCCTATCAGTTACCGCATTTGTGCTCATTTTACTTATTGTCTAGCCTGTTTGAAAAACTGTGGCCTATTTGCCAAAGTCAATGTTTTAATCTGTAATCTACCAGTTGTTTTCGAAGTGTCATTCTAGTGATCGTTTGTTCACGTCGGTCGATCGTATTGTTGGTATTCGTCTCCTAACTCATATCGTCGTTTCAGGAGTGTACGGTGATGTGCAGCGCGTGAAGATATTACACGGGAAAAAAGATTGTGCCCTTATTCAGTACGCTGAACTGAAACAGGCTCATTTAGGTAAGCTTGACGTAATATGTTTGCTCCTTTTTCTTTCGGCTCATTTACAATTATCTTTGCGTCTCCCGTTTCTCTTTTCATCGGTCCACTTTAAACCATAATCATGTACGAAGTGAGTGATTACGGATCGGGTTAACAGGCTCATTCTTAGTTTACTCGTTGCCTTTGAAAAGGTGCAGTAAGCATCGGAACCGACAATCTGTGGCATTAGTATCACCGAGTACTCAGATTGCTCTCCACGTCGAACTGCTCAGTTGTCCTTCACGTCGGGGGGGGGGAGACTGGTGTTCCACTCACACAGAAATTGATCACCAGTGTTTTGTGTGTAAGGTTGCAGTCCTCCGCAGCGCACCTTATCTACCAAATGCAAGTCAATCCTCTTTTTGCCTCTTGTTTATTTCCCTCTCACTGCATTGTTCTCAACTGCCGGCATTTCATTGATAGATTATATCATTAGAATGACCTTTTCCACTATTTTGACATCTGTTTCCGAGCTACCAAGCCTCTATTAAGCGTTTTACATTGTGATTCAATCAGATCAACGTGGCTAATGCCCTTTTCCTATAGCTTCTCACTCCTCCCCTTCATTTACGGGGACTTCCAGAAAACGGATTTATTTGTCAGCTCAATTTTGCTCTATCTCTCGAGTTGCTAGATGAAAAAGTTATCACCTGAATTAATGAATGCATTGGATCACACTTCATTGCGTCCACAGAGGTATGACTTAGGATATGAATTCATGACCAAAGGTCAGAACAACTGCTCTTCATTCCAAAGATACAGTCATCAGCAAACTGCGCACTTGACATAAGCCAATACATAATGCCAGTAGTACACCTACTCGCTTTGGTGACAGTGGTTCGAGCGCTTCCATTGTCGCATTGGCTTGTTAGTACTGATACTCCAATTTAACGGATCGATGCTTTCGTCGTCTGTTGGTCTAGTCTAGCACATTCTGCTGAACATAGGTGTCCGGAAGCAAATCGTCTCCAACTTTCATCCTTTACCAAATATCACTAGACGATTTAGGGCCAGCTTCTCAATTCGCGTCTTTTTAACGCTTGAGCGTGCTCTGAGGTCAAGCGGTTGCTTGATCGTCCTAACTTCAAGCATTCTCGCTGCACACTGGCGGCTCGAGTGTTGTAGTCCTGCGAACCATTGGCATTCATGGCTTTGAGCACCATCAAACGTAACTAGTGTCGGCATTTATGTCTAATTCTCCACCAGACGTTTGACCTATTACTTTCTGCCCTTGTCTTGTAATCATTGTTATCTTTATCGACTTATAATACATACTCATGTATTCCTATCCGCCAAGCACATCGTTTTTATTCATCTTGCTATGAGCTCGCTGGCTCTCCTTCACTTCACGTCAATCCAACTCTATACAGTTAACCAACCGTAACCCAAGCGCGATGTTTTTATTAGTTTTATTGCCACTGTATCTTACGTCTCCATATCAGGGACTGCATAGAAACAAACTAACTCGTGGTTTTGAATCTTTACGCTAATCATATTGGAATTTGACACCAGGTGTTTACGAAGGATCGAATGCACGAATGTCAATGCTGATCATCACATCTCGAACAGCTTTTCTCACTACCGGTGCGACGTATCCCTTGTCTCCCATTTAGAAGGTTGACTCTAACCAAGTTTCCAAGTCCGATTCTCTGAGCGTTTATGCCACGTCGACTGACTACTCCGTGGTTTAATTCCGTTTAACTCAGCAATGCTGATACTGCACACTGTTAATACCATACCGCGTACGAAACGTATGACCTAACTGGTGTGAGCGGCTCGACTACAATGTGGCACAAAAATTTCTCTTACAAAACACTAGTGCATCACAAATTACAACAACTAAAAACAGCCGGTTTCTTCCGTTCGCCTCATACCCGCAAATTCTGTGAATGCTTCCTCCTCATCCCGTCTGTCTTTTAGCCATTAGCTATCTTGACAAGCAACCTTTCTACGGCAAACAAATTCGTTGCTCATCGGCTAAAGTTCAACAAGTAAACATTCCCACGCCGGGAAAAGATAATACCGAGGCCAGTGCGGACAACATTAGCCAACTGAATCGCGAATACGTCGCTCACCGCTTGCATCGCTTCCGTTGGGCCAATGCGCGCACCTATCACAATTTGTGTGCCCCGTCCAAGTTTTTACACATTGTCAATCTGCCTGACGCGGTGTCTGAGGAAGACATACAGGATGCTTTTGTGCGAATTGCCGGTGTTAATCCGCTCGGTGTCAAGGTGATCAGGTGAGCGATTACTTACTGTTCTACCTCGGTCGCTCTATTTCTGTACTTTCGTGCGTTTACTTTTCATTTTGCTTTTTGTTTCAGGGCTTCTAAACTGATGGCTTTAGTTCAGTTGGAAGATATTGAGCAAGCTATCGGAGCTCTAGTTGTAAGCTTATCTGTCTACTTTTTTGCTGCAAGTATGCATGTTTTTCCACACTCGTTGGTGTGCACGTCTTTCTAATCGCCATCAAGTAGAATGATCTGTGTTTCTCAGGCTGCCGAAGTATCTGAGTTTATTCCCTTCACCTCCCTGCTTTCATGTTGCCTGTATTACGTTCACCACACGCCTTCTCATTTGGGGTTAAAGTTCGCTGCGCGCTACACCCTGCTTGCTGGGGCACACGCCTTTTCTTGGAAGCACTCTCTTTGGGCGCATATTATGCTAACCGTCTGTTTTTCGCTCTTTACAGGCCATGCACGACTACGAGATTGAAACGAACTATCGTATTCGTGTCAGCTTCACCAAGTCGACATTTAAACCGTAAACCTTCATCTACGCACAAGGATTCCTTTTGAGGACAACATGTTACCGGCGTTCCATAAACCTTTGCCCATTTTATCCCTATCCACTTCAATGTTTTCGACACCTTTGGTTCTTCTGCATCTGTAGTGCTTCATGTTCTGCATGCCATTAAATGAGCCTTTTTGCTTCTCGAAAATGATTTTCCCGCTGAATGAATGTGAATTCGTGTCCATGAAGTCGTCATGTCGGAGGGATCCCTACATAGTCCGGGTCATTTTCGCGTAGCCTGATCGTTCGCCAACACCACATGTTTTCTTCATGTATGCATGCCCTCATCCTAGTGATCGTAGCATCGCCAACCTTCGTAGTCATGCTGTTAATTCTGCTATACCAGTCCAAGACTCAACGTACGGACGGCTAATAATCTTACACGATCCACGAGCTTAAGCACCGTCTCAACGAGACTGGACCAAAACGTGGTGCGACGGTTTGCGTACCTCCTTGACCTATTGAGCTATACTGGGTGGTGCCTGCGGGCATCTTGAGAGATACCCCTACCAGCTTGGTCAATAGTGAGAGGTCAGACAAACTCAGTCTCCTGGTCCTCCAGGTTGGGGGTTTGAAATGGGATGGCGTCCATTTCTGTAAAACTAAATCATTGCCACCTCCCTGCTGCCTTCCGGACAGGCTTTTACGCCAAAGGCTTCGGATTTAGACCCAAATCGTCCTCTTGTCTAGGTCTGATCTCGGCCTACATACAACCATGACAATTTTACCAAACTCCAACCCCATCCTGCATCGGCTGTCGCGTAGATTATCAAGGGTCGCTTTACCTGCTGCATACAGCTACTGCAGGGCGGATAAGCGGAAACATGCTACTACTGGCGCCTCTCTTCTTTTCTTCCCACATTCTCTTACTCCCATCCAGACCCCATTATTAACCCTACTTCTATAATTTTCAGTTTAATTGACAGCAACCTAAGCGCCACCTTCCCACAACACCAAATGTCTATCAGCAACAGTCCATTGTAAGGCCACGCTGTCCCGTTTCCCTAGCGGCGTTCAAGCTTCGCACTCTAAGATAAATAGGTCAACAAGCTGCACTCGTACACACGTTAGACACACTGGGTATTGGTGTGTTGTGTCCAAAACTAGGATCAATGACACTAATGGGGTTGTTGAATTAACCGCTCCCGGTTTGTCCTGTCGCTATTGGTTGCGTGCATCTGTAAACGCAGAGGCCGCAACCGCTGCTCAAGTTGGGGTGGGCATCATTCACAGCTCCAAGTCTGAGTCGTCGTTGCTTGATTGTATTCCCGTTGAGCAGACACCTTTGTGCAGCCCGTTTGACGATATCAAGTAAGATTGATTCACAAATTAGTGCTTGACGCTGTTTGTTGGTGGTTTCCACTTACGCCCCCACCGATTGCATTTCTGATGCTATCAGAAACACCTATCACTAACTGGACACGTTGCTTCTCAGCGTTATCAGTTCAGATATCGTAGTTCTTGCATGGAATATGAATGCGCAACTAGGGCGTTTGGGCTTTTCAGAAGCTCAGCTAGGTGGTAAGTATGTACTTAACTCCGACTGTACGAACAGTGACGAGCGTCTGTCGCAACTGTGCACCAAGCACCGGCTGTTTTTCCATAGCACTGCTTTCAGACAAGGCGCCGAAGTGCTACTTGGCTTCCTTCTGTAGATGGCCAGCGATGGATCCAAATAAATCACGTTGCCGTAACTTACAGGTAGCGCGGTTCCATCCTGTATTGTCGCTCATTTCGTGATACTTGCGCCGACTCGGTTTTTGCTTTGGTACGCTGTCGATTTTCTATAAACTTTGCTGGAGGCCTATCAAGCGCCCCATCGTATGGCGATTAAAAATTTATCTGTCTCCGGTCAAGCAAGCTTACCAAGATGTCCAGCATACCGAACTACTGCTTTCCCGTTTTGATGGCACTAGGCTTCAATGGAACAGTATCTTGGCCGCCTCTGCTTGCGGCATTATCAATCGTCATCGCACCAGTCACTGGGTATCTGAAAGGTCTTAATCTGTTGGAATCCAGAAGAAAGCTCCTGGATGGCTCTGAGCACAATCTAACTAGGAGCACTATTAGGCGCGAACTAAAGCAGCTGAGCTGACGTGCCTCGCGTGTTTTTCTCCATTATGTACCGCGGCATGTCTCAACGGTTCACTTACTTTACCTACCGCCTACTCCCATCCAGCCAAAGCAGCTATCAAAGGTCTTCGGTGTGCTTTGTATACCTAGGTACCGTCATCCACGTTTTGTGTATCTCCAGCCGTAGTCAACTTTCCCCGCGAAGCTAACCACTTTAAGGGCAAAGAAACTAGGGTCAACCGCATCGCATTTTGGATATCGCTTGTGGCGATGTTCCTGAGAACACGCCGTTATCCCGACACGCTGTACCCACCCTTTAATTTACCTGAACCGAGATGCAGCTCAACTTCTTAAGGATGCACTGGTTATATAAACGCGGTGTTATCGCCATCTGCTTAGTGACTGGCGAACGTCAGCTGACAAATAGCACCTCGGGGTGTTAGGTATGCCGAAGGAACTTTTGTTCCTGGGCTCAAAGTTTCTACTGTTCGGGCAATCCCGTATTCAGAACCGGAACCACTTGCACCACCTTTGAGATATCCTAGGGCTGTTTGTTTTCAGCCCACAAAGGATGTGCACCATTGCACGGGGAAATCGCGCTGGTATCACCCGGGGTCTGCATTTCATCAACAAGCTTCTGACTCGAAGACAGTCGAATCCGAATAACAGTGCTCTGGGGAGTCGGAACTGCGGCACATCACTGGGCAATAAGTGGCCATTGGTAGCATTTCACATGTGCGAGCTCCGGTCTTGCAACATGGGAACTGGACAGCAAGTACACAAATCGGTGGGTTTGTAGTGGAATGGACTACACAAAATGGCTAACGCAAACCTCAGTCAGTTATGCAAACGATGAATCCAAAGTTCGGTTAATTCTGTGTCTGAAGCTAGCCATGTGCTTCGGTAAGAACGCAATCCGAGTCCGCAACGATTTCGCGCAGCAGACACCGTGCAACTACGCCGAACAATCATGAAGAACGCGCGCGCAGCGAAGCGAGTACAGATGGAACAATAAGTGCAATTAAAAATGTAGTTTACAAGCGCCACAGGTTCACTAATATGCGATGTGATAAAAATCGGTTGCTTTACATGATCTACAAGATGGTAAATGCAAAGAAAATTAAACTACTTCGGCGTGGGACGCGAAATATCGGCTGTCTAACTATGGCAATTTGTCATACCATCGTGCAGCGCTTGACACTCAGATCACGGTCTAATGGTCTTTCGAATGTTGCGGTGTTTCATACCTTCATCATCTGTTTTTCTCGTGCATCCCGATTCGAACGGATTCTAAGAAGTAAAAAACTAAAATCCGCGCGTGTGTTGTTACTAGTTTCAGGTCATGGCCTCGGTATCGTTTGTTCAAGTGGCTGGACTCAGCAATGATCTACTTGGATGATCGCTTTGTTAGTATCTGATATGTGGGAATGAGATCCGCGAGCCCGTCGGTATTCTGCAGCGCCATTCATGACTGAAAACCGGATAGTCCACATGTTGCTACATTAGACGAACGTCTCATTTTACTCGCATATACTCATCGTAGGGGCGAATATACGAGTTACTTATCAGGAGTCCTAGTCATCGCCTAAAGGCATTTAGAGTTTGCCTTAAGGTCAAAGTTGTTGCCCTCGAACATTGTAGCGAATTGATCTGGCGTTCTCGTATGATGATACTTTCGGTAACCACATGTGCTGCTCCAGAAGATAGGTGTTCTTGAAGTTACTGCGCATCATCAGCAGATGGCACTTTGTAGGATTCGGGGATAGCTTCTACCTTTCTGTCCATTCGTAAATCCGGTGTGATCTTGAGCTAATAGCTCTCCATGTGTTGACATTATCCGCAAATATTGAATATTTTCAAATAGGCCATTGATGTAGCATACATTGACAGTAGCGCACCGAGGACAGATCATTGTGGCACACTACTGGAGTGAGTCGGTTATTCTCACCTTGATTAGAGATAGTTCATCACGGTCCACTCAGTCAGCAGGCTTTGGCTAGTCTGCAAAAGCACCAGGCACCGATGTTTCGACCTCCTGGGTCCCGTCAGTGGCGCGCCTTCCAACGTAACCTTGCCGGGTTCCGCCCCCATGACTTCCGGATGCCAGCAGCTAGTGATACTGTTGCGGGCCCGTCAAATATCCCCGCATAAACGCGCCACAAACTCCGGCGTAATGGCTGTGGGAAGCGGAGTTCAATTCCTCCCCGCAACGTAGCAGCTTACAGCCACTCCGAGACACGCACAACTGCGTACATGTTGACAATTTTCTTTTACGAACTGCCACCCCGTTCGGTAGCTATTTCACTGACTTACTGACTCATAGTATTGGCTGTGATTCGCCTTTTGTTGGTCGTAAAAGAGCCTTCAGAGGACCACTTGTCTTGTTTTCTCTTCGTCGTTAGTTGAGAGTCCGTTCGGTCACGCGATTTTTGTGTGCGTCGATAGCCGGGCAGCGTGCACGTCTAAGTCACTAGCGTGCGTCCACCGTCACTCCCTCTCGTGTGCCTAGCCTCGTCCGTTACGAGGGCTCAGCGTCTACCCGAATACGTGTGGCTAGGGACGTTCTCACGCTAGCGCGATTTTCCGCCTGACCAGCGCGTACCCCGGGCCATGCTAGGGCCATCACATCAGCGCAAATCTGTTCGATCGGCCAGCGATCCAAGCCGTTATTGTAGGCGTGCTCAAACCGTTCCAATGACAATCGTATCAGGCTCAAATTCTTATCAGAGGCGTCTCCCGATCTTAACAGACAAGAAAGCTTTTTTCCTTTTGGTTCTCTCTTGTCCTTTTCATACACTTTTTGTCTGTTTAATATTTGCGATGGAAATCAAAACAAATATTCATATACTTTTTCCATTGGGCCCGATCATACGCTATGTCCGAAAGAGTTTCTAGCCAGTGGTTTGCTTCATCTTTGATCCCCGGCCCGGAAGACTCCAAGGACCTACGACACCTAAACTGGAAGTCAGCACCTTAATCGTTTGTCGCCATGTGATAGGCTGACCACCACGCGCTTTCTTCCAGCCTGGTCCTGTGCGATCGAAGAGGACGCGTCGCGGAAGCCGTTCGC